ATGGTGGAGACTCAGTTTTTCCTGAAAAGCATTCAGGTAGTTGTGAATGTGGTCAAAAATGGTTTGATCAAAATTTCCATCTTTTTAGGTGAAAAGCATACCATCAAAATGAGATAGTTTAGGGGAGACTTGTGGAAGGAAAAAAACCTACAGTGCCTATAAAGGAATGAAACCAAAAGTGAAATCTTTGGGTGAAAATATCCCCTTTCCCCAGGGCATCACCTCCAAGGGTCCATCACTTCAATGGCAAAAGACATTTCCTGAAATAAAATGAAGAGGAACCTGCTGACGGCAGCAGTGCACAAGCTGCAGCTTCCTCTCTGCTGAGGCAGATCTGAGAGCGGCGGTGATTTCAGGGAGCTGGGTGACTCTGAAGAATTCATTCATTTCCCTTCCGGGCTCCTGTGTCCAAACTGCCTCCAGTTCTGAAGGACCAGTGTGGGCCTGGGGGTGGAAATCCCAGTTCAGGCCAGCGACTGGGAGTCCCAGGATCGGGGCATGGAGCCTGAGGTGGTGATTCTCTCAGCTGCCTCCTTCAGTCCTGATCTGCATTCTTCATCCCCATCTTCAGTTTATCATTAGACCACAGCAATGCAGATTGATGTGTGATAGGAGAGCTTAAGGCTCCAGGCAGTGTAATTGTGATATTAACATTAGCAGGAGGCATTGCAAACATGAAATTTATTTTCTGTGTACAGCTGTCTTGCAAAACTCAATAGCAGAACTCGTCCTGCGATCACAGGGAGTGAAGTCTTTAATGACCTGCAAATAGCACCGAGAGAGCTGAAAAGTGGGGCTGCCAAAGCAGAATTTCTGCACAGCAGAATTTAAAAATAGGCTGCTGCTGGCATTCTCGCTTACCCGTCGTTCCTGGAAGCCCACGGGGAGAACGGCTCCCCAGCAGAGGAGAGACGCAGTCCCCTGACGTAACTTGCCTCAGCATCTAAGCAGCAGAGTGGAAAGTTGCAAATTCAGTCATTTTACACTGAAGCATCCCTGATCATTGGCTGCATCTTTTCAAGCTCCAGGTCTGTGCTGGGTGCTGAGTCCTCTCTCCTCTCCGCGGAGCAGCAAGGTGGCAGGGGCACCAGGCAGACACCTCCTTGCCATCCTGGTGGGACTGAGGAGTCCCTTTAGCTTAGCATCATCAGCGTCTTTGGCGAAGCTAGGCACGTGTGGGAGTAGAGACACAGGAGAGATGAACGCCTCTGCAGAAGAAAATGCTCTTCAGAAGCTCCCACCAACAGTGAGAGGTGTCAGCCCCAGTCAAAGACGGGGAGATGTGTTGTGGGGAGAGCAACAGGGCCAGAAAAAAGAGCTCAAGGGCGGGAGCATGGGGAGTTGGGAGTGCCGAGCTGCATCTCCAAGCAAGGACGAGTTCTGTGTTTACAAAGGACTGCAGAGAACCAGGCCATGAAACACCTCGTCCCCCTCATGAGTGAGGGGTCGGTGATGAGAGCCCAGGAAGCCCCCCCTGCACACCACAGCCCCCAGCACACCACTGTCCTTCGTGGGGAGGGGCTGAGGAGGGTCCCCAGTGCCGTGTGCTGTGGGGCTGGAGGAGATGGGCAGCCACTGGCTGAGCCAGGGGTCCCAGCAGCAGAGGTGGGCAGCACCCATATGTGCAGAGGCTGCTTGACCTGCCTGCGGCACAGCCTTGAGCTACGAGCATGGGGCAGAGGGCAGAGGTGAGAAGAATCCCCCTTCTTACCCTTGTACGCAGCACTGGTGAGGCCACACCTCAATTACTGGGTTCAGTTTTGGGCCCCTCACTATGAAAAAGGACATTGAATGACTCGAGCTTGTCCAGAGAAGGGCAACGGAGCTGGTGCAGGGTCTGGAGCACAGGTCTGATGGGGAGCGGCTGAGGGAACTGGGGGGGTTTAGTCTGGAGAAGAGGAGGCTGAGGGGAGACCTCATCGCCCTCTACAGCTCCCTGAAAGGAGGGTGCAGAGAGATGGGGATGAGTCTCTTGAACCAAGAACAAGCAACAGGACAAGAGGAAACGGCCTCAAGCTACCCCAGGGAAGGGTTAGACTGGCTCTTAGGAAGTATTTCTTTGCAGAAGGGGTTGTTGGGCGTTGGAATGGGCTGCCCAGGGCAGGGGTGGAGTCCCCATCCCTGGAGGGGTTGAAGAGTCGGGTTGACCCAGCGCTGAGGGATCTGGTGGAGTTGAGAACGGTCAGTGTGAGGTTAATGGTTGGACTGGATGATCTTCAAGGTCTTTTCCAACCAAGATCATTCTGTGATTCTGTGTGAATATCAAAACCAAGTTGGAGAGGAAAACAACTCCACACTAATTGTTTCATCTCTTTCAAACTTTCCTTCTTCATGAAGCCTGCAGGTGGTTTAAACACATCTGAGGAATCCCAGTCCCCCAAAGGATCACTGCAGCTCAGTCAGTCTTAGTCGGCAGCTTCTCCCATTTGCCCACATTATCTCTGCACTGCCAACCCACTTACTCCCTGCCAGAGATCATGTCTTCACCAGAGTATGGCTGTTCCAGCAATGGGCTCTGCCTGTAGAACTTGCTGCCCTTTGCTGACTGCCCACCTTGTTTTAGAATCATAGAATCACTGAGGTTGGAAAAGACCCTTAAGATCATTGAGTTCAACCATATTCCAAACACTGCCACCACTAAATGATCTCACTCAGCACCACAGCTACATGTCTTTTAAATACCTCCCGGGATGGTGACTAAACCCCTTCCCTGGGCAGCCTGTTCCAGTGTTTGACAACCCTTTCAGTGAAGGAATTTTTCCTCATATCCAATCTAAACCTCCTCTGACACAATTCAAGGCCATTTCCTTTCATCCTATCACTTGGGGGAAAAGGGACTGACCCCCCCTCTCTGCACCCTCCTTTCAGGGAGTTGTAGAGGGCGATGAGGTCTCCCCTCAGCTTCCTCTTCTCCAGACTAAACCCCCCAGTTCCCTCCGCTGCTCCTTACAGGAATTGTTCTCAGACTCTTCACCACTTTTATGTATATACAGCAAAGAACAGGATATTGATTAAATGATAAAAATATTTTTGCTCTTAAGCAGAACTGATAACTTCATGCTCCTTCAATTGCACAGGAAATTTTATCTGGAAGGTTTCATAGAATCATCACAGAACAGTTTGGGTTGGAAGGCACCTATAAAGGCCATCTAGTCCAGCCGCCCTGCAATAAGCAGGGACATCTTCAACTAGATCAGGTTGCTCAGAGCCCCATCCAACCTGGCCTTGAATGTTTCCAGGGATGGGGCATCTACCACCTCTCTGGGCAACCTGTGCCAGTGTTTCACCACCCTTCCTGTAAAAAAATTTCTTCCTTAAATCTATACTGAATCTGCCCTCTTTTAGTTTAAAACCATTACCCCTTGTCGTATCACAACAGGCTCTGTTAAAAAGCCTCTCTCTCTTTCTTATAAGCCTCCTTTAAGAACTGGGAGGCCGCTATAAGGTCCCCTCCGGACCCTTCTCGTCTCCAGGCTGAACAACCCCAACTCTCTCAGCCTGTCCTCACAGGAGAGGTGTTCCAGTCCTCTTACCATTTATGTGGCCTCCTCTGGACCCGCTCCGACAGGTTTCCAATGACATCCCATAAATTGGAAGTGACTGGAGAGCATCCCTGCAGAAAGAGATCTGGGGGTGTTGGCTGACAACAGCGGTGAGCCAGCAGTGTGCCCTGGCAACCAAGAGGGCAAACCGCATCCCGAGTGCAACAAACACAGCATAACCAGTCAAAAGAGGGGATTATCCTGCTGTATTTAGTGCTGGTGTGGCCTCACCTTGAGTATTGTGTGCTGTTCTGGCTGCCACCATTTAAAAAGGATGTGAAGGTACTTGAACGTGTCCAGAGGAGGGCACCAAAGCTGGTGAAGGGGCTGGAGGTACGTCCTGTGAGAAGCGGCTGAGGGCACTGGGTTTGTCTATTTTGGAGAGGTGGAGGCTGAGAAGCAACCTCACTGCTCTCTGCAGCTCCCTGGGGAGGGGAAGGGGAGAGGGAGGTGCTGAGCTCTTCTCCCTGGGATCCAGGGTCACGTGGGAACAGTTCCAAGCTGCGACAGGGGAGGTTTAGATTGGACGTTAGGCATGTTTCTTTACTGAAAAGGTGGTCAAACCCTGGAACAGGCTTTCTCGAGGGGTGGTCGATGCTCCAAGCCTGTGAGTGTTTAAGAGGTGTTTGGACAATGCCCTTAATACCATGCTTTAACTTTTGTTCAGCCCTTAAGTGGTCAAAGAATTGGACTAAATGATTGTTGCAAGTCACTTCTGACTGAAACTATTCTATTCTCTGCTCCAAACAGCAATCCTTCCCTCCTAGGCGTCGCCCCCTTTCCTCCTTTGAAACTAGGCCCAGCTGCCCCTTCCTCCAGCCGCCCCAAAACCCCACGTCTCCTCAAGCTGAGCACGGCAGGGCCGAACATTTCTCAAACCGATAATGGCGGATGAGGGAACGGTTTGGCCAAGGAAGCCCGATGGCCCGGCCTGGCGCGGGGCACGCCGGGAGGTGTAGTCCCGCCTCCGGGGCTGGGCACGTCCATCGCTGGGAGATGAACTACATCTCCCGGAGTACCCCGCGGGGAAGCGTTTGCGCACGCGTAACTCAGAACCACGGCTCCCGGTGTCCCGCAGGACCCGCCTCCGCGCATGCGCAGTTCGTGACTACAGTTCCCGGCGTGGCTTGCGGCGAGGCGGAAGCGGCGCTATGGCGGCAGGTGAGGGGCCCGGGCTGGCCGTGGCTCCGGTCGCCTGTGGTCCGGCGGGCTGACGGCTCCGCTCTGTGTCCGCAGATCAGTAGCCGGTGCCGCTGCTATGGCGCTGATCGAGGGCGTTGGCGATGAGGTGACCGTGCTCTTTGCGTTGTTGCTGATTGCCGTGGTGCTGGGGCTGGCCTGGGCCTCCACCCGCGCCCCCGAGCCCGTCGCGACCCCCCGCGACGCCGCGACGCTGCC